ATCTTTTAGGTTTTTCAGTTTATTTTTAAATTCCTGACTGTGATGGTATTTATTTTTTCCTTTTCCCTTTTCCCACTTCCCTGGCTTAGCATCAGAAAGGGACCATCTGTCCTTGCCTTGCCTATGGCCATTTTAGAACCAGAACCAGGCTGCTTGGTTTCTGGTCCCCCCTTTTCTTCCTTGCCCTCCCTCCCCGACTGCCTGACTTTCTCCTCTGCACTGCCCCGAAAGCCTCTCATGTAGCTCCCTCTGTGTGTCCGTGTGTCCACTACCATCTCCTATAGGCCTGTCCATCTGTGAGGATCTCTAGACTGAGTCAAGCCGGCAGCTGCGGGCCCTGTCTGAGGCTGCCAGGTCTGTGAGGAGCTGAAGCATGGGTGCAGCAAGACCAGCTTGTAGGAGAGAAGGGAGATCCCCAGCCTCGTGCTGCAGGCAGGCGGTGCCCCCCCATTTCTGATGAGAGAGAATGGCATTTGTGTTCATGTATGGATCATGTTCTAACTTGTTTCTGCCTCTGCTTGTATCTGAGAGAGAGGGAGGCGGGGAGAAAGAAAGGGAGAGAGAGGAATTCATTCACACATCCTTCTGCCTTAGAGACCCAGGAGTGAGTTATAACCACCCCTCTTCCCCTACATAAATATCTTTCTTGCTTTCTTTCCCTCCCTCCCCTGTACTGCTGGAGCCTGCTTGATTTTCTCCCTACTGTGTTTAATTCCTATAAAAGCACTTCAAAGTTTGGATACTTCACAAAGTAGAATAAGAATAGAGAAGTCTGAGCCGGGCATGGTGGCACACGCCTGTAATCCCAGCACTCAGGAGGCTGAGGCAGGAGGGTCGTTGCGAGTTCAAGACCAGCCTGGGCTACAAAGTGAGCTCAAGGCCAGCCTGAACTGCATAGTGAGACCCTGTCTCAAAAAAGGCAAAAAAAAAAAAAAAAAAAAAAAGAACAGAGGGCTCTGATAGAGTTCCAAAGCATAAGAAGGAATGCTTATAGAGTGGAGAGTCTTTATCTCTCTGCCTACCTACCTATCTATCTAGCTGTCTACCTACCTACCTGCCTATTTGGGGTTTTTGTCTGTTTGTTTGTTTGTTTGAAACAGGGTCTACTTGTATATTTAGCTGGCCTTGAACTCTTGGCAGTTTCCTGCCTCAGCTTCTGGAGTGCTGGGATTACATGTGTGTGCACCATGCCCAGCTTGGGAGTCTGTTTTAGACATTAAGGAAAGCTGGGAAAAGGAGTCTTTGGAAGGCTTTACGAGTCCATTTATTACTGGTTGTGGTGGATAATAGGGACTTGATGAGAGTTTCAACCTTCCTTCTGTATTCTCCTCCTTTTCAGTTACTGGCTCAATGATGAGGTGCTCAGACAAGTCCCTCTCCTCCATCTACTTCCTTTCTCCCTCAAGAGATATTTAATCTTTCTCATACTTTGGTTTTGGGCCTGCTTTCCATACTGAGCCTTTAGGGTGGGAATGGGGATGATGCTGTATACACTCCCTGATTTGCTTTGAGAAAAGCAGGTGTCTGGATCTCTACTTCCCCTGTGGATCTTTGGGGACTGACTGGTATCCCTGCTTGGTAGGAAGGAGGGGGTGATCTCCTGAGACTTTTCCTGTCTGTCTCCAACCCCACATACCAGTTCCCATTTTCTCTCTTACATACACACTCTCACTCTTTCTCACACCCCCTCCTATATTTTTTTTCTCTTGCTCACATGTTTTAGGTACTCATAACCAATTGAAGGGTGCCTAAGTCTAGCCCCTCTACCCTCTACTGCCTTCCATATCTCTGCCAGTTTGGGCTAAGACCTATGTCCTAGAGTTGCTTGAATTGTTGGGGAAACTTATCTGTCCCTTCCTTCCCTGGCGGCACCTTCAGAAAATCTCCTGTAGAAGGGGTTTAGTAATCTGGTTGGGACTAAGGTGTGGTTTTTTAAGCTGCTTTTGCACAGCAGTCACTGCTTCAGTGCTCTGTGGGTGTTTCAGGGGTGGCTTTGAGGGAGCTGACAAATTTATAGGAGGTTGCAGGACCACTCCCCCAGGTTGTCCCCTGGTATTGCCACTACCGCTCCCGCCCCCCCCGCCCTTCGTATTGGTGTGGGCCTCCCAGATTACAGGAAGAGCTCAGGAAAACAAACTATTGTTTTCATGGGGAGGAGGGAGAGCCAGCCTTCCTAGTCTCAGGCTCCCTGAAGTGGCACCAGATGAATAGAGGCTCCCCAGGCCCTGGTGGCTTTGTCTTCCAGGGTGAATTACTTGCTCAGGACTCTGTTATTCTGGTTCTTGGTTCCCTTTTTAAACCACAAGTTCCATTCTTTTCCCTAGTGGCCCCTAGTTTTTTTCTCTCTCCTCCCCAATTTGTTTGTGACTATCACAGGTTTTCCTGCATTTCTCCTGTGTTGTCCTGTGTGGTTGGTAACAGGAGGAAGCCTGCCCCCAGGAGTACGAGGAGTCAGACTACAGCCCAGCCTAGGGGGACTGCCTCTTCCCCGGCCCGCAGCTCACTCTGCCTTGTCCCCCTGTCCTCCTATATCCTGTGGCAGCCCCACCTGATGGTGTTGTCTGGCACCTTGCCTGGGTTTGGGAAAGCACTGGCTACAGCAGTAGGATCTGCCGAGACATATCTGAACAAATAATCACTGCTGGGCTTGAAGCACAGGCAAGACCAGTCCTCCCCTGGTCTCCACTGGGCTTTTGTATATATTCTTTTCCAGTGCCTTCCATCCCTCAGTTTTATGTTTCTAGTTCTTTCTATCACACTGGCAACTTCCAGGAATCTCCTGGAATTCAGAGTAGACCCTTTCTGGTTTGAATTTCTATAATTATAAAACTCATGGGTCAGCAAAAAGTAGGGATCAATTTTCCTGACCTGCCTGCTTCTCCTGCAACTGCTTCACAAGCAGTCTTACTCTTTACTGTATATTTCAGCACATGTGATGCCTTCCCAGAATGTTCTCTTTGTGTTAGTATCTAATTTTTTTGTGGTCTTTGAAGTTTTTATTGTTGTTGTTTTGTTTTTTGAGATAGGGTAAACTGGGCATGGTGGCACACACCTGTAATCCCAGCACTGGGGAGGCTGAGGTAGAAAGATCCTGTGAGTTTGAGACCAGCCTGGGCTACATAGTGAGCTCAAAGCCATCCTGAACTGCATAGTGAGACCCTGTCTTTAAAGAAAAAAAAAAAGAGAGAGAAACTGTATTGTTATGTAGTTCATGCTGTCCTTGAACTCTCTGTGATCTTCCTACCTCAGTGCCCAAATGCTGGAATTATAGGTGTGAGGCACCATGCCTGGCTAATGTTAGTGTTTGATTTTTAAACTAGACCCAGGATTCGCAAAGGTACATGCTTGTAATCACAACGGTGGGTGGCTGAGGCAGGAGGATTTCTGTGAGTTCAAGACTGGTGTGGTCTACATTGTGATCCAAAGCCAACCTGAACTACATAGCAGGACCTGTTTCAGAGAAAAGCCAAAAATCAAAGTAAAAAAGGGCTAAGGATATAGTTCAGTGGTAGTGTACTTGCCTTGCATGCACTAGGCCCTGGCTTCTATCCCTATCACCAAATAAATAAACAAACAAGGAAGGGAGGAAGGGAGAGAGGGAGGGAAGGAAAAGGGAAGGGAGGGAGGGAAGGAAGGGAGAAAGGAAGAAGTTGGGCATGGGGTGTATGCCTGCGGTCCCAGCACTTAGGTTGAGGGAGTAGGCTCACAAGTTTGAATCCTGCATGGGCAATTTAGTGAAGCCCTACCTCAAAATTAGGAAGGAGAGAACGAAGGGAGGGGGAGAGGGAAGGAGGGAGGAAGGGGGAGGGAAGGGAAGAAACTCTTTAACAGGCCTTTATAAAAGATGCTGGCTAATATTTATAGTTTTCATTTGTTAAAATCCTTTAAAAACAGACTTTACTCCTCAAGAGAGATCATGTAAGGCAAAGCAAAGCTGGCAGGAATCACTTTCCTCTTCTGGAGATGGGCTGTGGGAGTGCAAAGGGAAGGCCCTGGAGTGGAGGAGGAGGTATTGTTCATGGGGTGAGGACAGGCTGGTGCAGAGTTCTAACACAGATCTGACCCTTTTTCAAGAAATTTTACCCCAGACCTCACCTGTGGCCTCATTTTGCCCATTCTGTCACATACACCATTCGTCCAGGATTCCACTGCGTTGCCAGATCGCTCCCCACTGCCACCCGCCCAGCCTCAGCTAGACTGTGCAGTGCTAGGTTTTTTTTTGTTTTATTTTGTTTTTTGTTTTTTTCCCCGGTAAGGGGAATCGAACTAACAATGTTGCACTTGCCAGGCAGGCGCTGTGCTGCTGAGCTAGATCCCCAGCCCCATGTGCAATGCTAGTCTTGACACAGTTGGAGCATAAACCCTATTTGGGTTTTTAGGGGAAAGTAGCCAAAGTCTCATTTCTAACTTAATCTGTCCCTTTGCTGCATTTAAAAAAATGCCTTACTGGTTGAGCATGTAGTTCAGGGGGAGAGTACTTGCCTAGCATGTATGAAACCCTAGCTCCATCCCCAGCACTGCAAAAAATATAAAACTGAGAATAAATAACTCACTGGTTTCAGGGAAGGGAAATGATTGGCTGATTCTGGGTGCTGGGCATCAGAGTCAGAGCTGTGCTTGCCATTTCTGTCTTTCCTTTCTCCATGTGTGCTCTGTGGGAGGAGTCCAGGGAGCTCTTGGAGGCCAGAGGAGCAGGGAAGTGGGAGCATAAGGCCAGTTTGTGCCTGACACTCTCTGAGTCAGCACTAGGGAGCAGGCACAAGATGAAGGTGTAAGTGGGCATCTTGGGAAAAATCATGGTGCTATGTTTAGTCGTCATTTGGAACTTCTCAGGCCCCCAGTGCTGGGGAGAGAGTTCCTTCAGGAATATCTGGGTTATAGCTGGGGAGACCAACACACTTGGGTGATTAAAGGAGGTGTAAGACAGAGGAGCAGTCTGAGGGACAGCCCCTGTTCTTCGCCCTTGCCCACTGCAGCCTGCGTGTTTTCTCTGTACCTACCTAGCTTTGTACCTCTGTCTTCCTTTCAGCCATGTAGTTTCAACTTCTTTCAGAAAATTTTTCCTTAGCCAAGCCTGTCTCCACTTCGCTGTGCCTGGTATTTAAACATTAAACTGAGTGTTTGAGTGCCTCATTATATCCTCAGAAACATGCCTTACACTGTGAGGAAGACAGAGGCATAAAAAAAAAAAAAAGACAGAGGCATAGAGGGTGGGCAGTGCCTGAGTCACACAGGGCAACATCCTGAGGGAACTGTCACCAGTTATGTGATAATGGTTGAGGCTGGCCTTGAACTCACTGTATAGCCCGGGCTAGCCTCAACTCCCTGCGATCCCCCTGCCTCAGCCTCCCAGAATGCTGAGATTGCAGGAGTGGATAACCACAGCTGGCAGTCCCAACTCTTTTATGATGCCTTGCACAATCTTTCAGTCAACCAAAATTTTTTATTTTTATTTTTTGTATTTTTGAGACAGGGTCTCACCATGCAGTTCAGGCTGGCCTTGAGTTCACTTTGTAGCCCAGGCTGGCCTTGAACTCGCAACGATCCTCCTGCCTCAGTCTCCCCAATGCTGGGATTACAGGTGTGCGTCACCATGCCTGGCTCCAAAATTTTTAATCATGTATGAAAATTTTTATATATAAAATGTGGGAAGATAAAATGTTTAGTGCAGTAGGATTTACTGAGAGGAAGAAAGCTGCCACAGATAACTATGTACAACAAGGTAGTTTTGCAGTGTGCCACAGGCTCAGAGCATCACAGAAAAGATAATACTATTTTTTATTCAGGCACCCATAGTAGTACCAGTTTATGGGGCTTTCATACTGTGTATAATACCCAAATAACACCTAAGCATGATTCCTGCCCTTAAACCGCTTTTATTCTGCTTGTGGAGATGAGACATTGTTTAAGAAGTGGAATAGCAGTGTGTAGTCTGGCTTGTTTGGTTGCAGGAGCCTGATTTGGTTAGGTCAAATAAAGTGATGGTTATAGCATAGACTCTGGAGCCAGCCACATGCATTCACATTCTGGGTTTGCTGCCTAATTGCCTTTTTTACCTTGGGCAAGTTACTTACCTTCACAGAGCCTCAGTTTTCTCATCTATAAAGTGAGAATACTGTCTCCCTCAAGGAATTATGTGCAGATTAAATTAGTGGGTATGGGTAAAACAGCACTGTGGGGTCTAAATTATTTCTGTTTAAGATCAAGAATCTCTTTGGAGCCGGATCTTGATGGTGGACGCTTGTAATACCAGTACTTTAGGAAGCTGCTGCAGGGGGGATTGTACATTTGAGGCCAGCCTGGGCAGCTAAGTGGCTTAGTGAGACCCTGTCTCAAAATAAAACATGGGCTGGGGATGTCACTAAGCATGCATGCTGTGGGCTCCATACCCCTGATCTCCTTGGACCCTGAGCACCAAACTGCAGCATAGATGGTTTCTTGGAACTGCAAGGACAGGGTGTTCTAGATTCATCGTAGCAACAGGGATTGCTCGAATCCCTCGCTCCCTCTCCCACTTTTGTCCCCTTTCCCTCAATATCTGCTTTGATCTCTACTTCAGTCTGGCCACTTCTTCTCAGTAACAGCTTCTGGTTTCCTTCACCTGAGATAATAATGGCACTTTTCCATTTCCTACCTAGCATCATCCCTCTTGGTTGGAATGGCTGAGGGGAAGTTGGCCCCAGTCCATCATTTCTGGTCAGATTTGGCCTGACTACCCTTGTAACCCACCTCTTGGACTCTCAGTAGGACAAGAAGGAGAACCAAATGGTTGAAAACACAGTTGCTTAGACAGCAGGAGCTGTGAGCTAGGCAAAGCACACTGCAGGCCTTGGAGTCAGATTTTTGAGGTCATATCTTGGATTCTCCACTTACTGCTTATATGTAACCCTAGGCCCATGATGGTGAATCTTTGAGAGCTTTCAGTGACAACAAACATTGGCTATGGCATAGGTTCACCACCACTGCCCTAGGCAAGTCATGTAATTGTGCTAAATTTCCAATACCTGTGAGATAAGTGCAGCCTACTTACCTCAAAGTATATTAGGAGATTATACTTTTAAAGCACTTAACAGTACAAGGAACGAAGGAGGTGCTTTAAAATTACTAGTTCGTACAAAGGGAGATGGGGAGTGTGGGCCATAATGTAATCTCTGAGCAACTGGAAGTGGGAGATGTCCTAATGGAGTAAAGATAAGGCCCCCAGGAGGAGACTGATGATAGTTGTTCAGAGGAGGTGCTAAGATGACGTTCACACCACAGCTTAAATCTGCTTTCATGAGGCTTTCCCTGATTCCTGTGTTCTCAACTCAGTCAGTGTTTCTTAGCACCCTATGCATCTCCATTGCACAGACTGAGTGCTGCCATCATTAAAAAATCAATCGTATAGTTGTTTTGTGTCCACCACCCCCCATATATCAGAATATATGCACCCATATGGCAGGGACTGCCCTGCCCCATTTTATGCATTTTATGAACTGTTCTATTCTTCATCCTAGTGTAGTTGTTGGCACATGGTTTCATGGGGTGTAGACTTGAGCATTTGGAACCATAGTTAGAATTGGTGTAGAATCATAGTTAGCAAGTTTTCTTTCTTTTTTTTTTTTTTTGAGACAGGGTCTCTATTTAGTTCAGTCTGGCCTTGAATTCACTTATGTAGCCCAATCTGGTCTTGAACTCAAAGCAGTTCTCCAGCCTCAGCCTCCTGAGTACTGGAATTGCAGGTATGTGCCACTACGCCTGACTGGCAAGTTTTCTTAGTTTGTCAAAAATGAACTCAGGTGGATCTTCTGCAGATGGGAAGGGGACTGAGAGATGAGTGGAGGGGAAAGGGATGAAATAAGGAACTGAGATGTTTTATGTATATATACCAACTCCCCTCAAGAAATGTGGTCATTATATAGTAATTTTAAAAATAAAAATTGAGGTGGGCATGGTGGCACACACCTGTAATCCCAGCCCTTGGGAGGCTGAGGCAGGAAGATTGCTGCAAGTTTGAGGCCAACCTGTGCTCCATAGTGAGTTCAAGTTCATCCTGAACTACATAGTGAGACCCTGTCTACAGACAAACAAACAAACACATACATATGTACGTACATACAGCACAAAGCAACAAAGAAACAAACCCAGTCACTTTTAAGTGACTTGCCTCAGACACAACCAGCAGCAAAGTAATAATAGAAATTGCCTCTTAATTATGAGTTGCTGCATTTTTATGTAGATATCCAGATGTTCTAATGGTATTGAAAAGACTATAGGAATAGTGTTGGCATGCTGGTTAAAAATAAACTGACCATTAATGTCAGAGTTTGTTTTTGAATTCTCAGTTCTGTTCATTTGCTTTATATGTCTATAATATGCTGGTATCATACTGTTTTTGTTTGTTTGTTTTGTTTCATTTTTTTAGAAACAGGGTCTTACCATGTAGTTCATGCAGGTCTTGAATTTTATGTGGCCCAGGCTGGCCTTGAACTTAGAATCCACCTGCCTTGGCCTCCTGAGTACCGGGATTATAGGCATGCACCACCATACCTGGCAACACTGTCTTGGTTATTGTCATTTACAAGTTTTGAAATTGAGAAATGTAAATCCTCCAACTTTGTTCTTTGTTTTTAGGATTGTTTATTCTGAGTCCTTTGTATTTCTAAAAGATTTTTAGGATAAGCTGATCACTTTCTGGAAGATAAATCCCAGCTAGGATTTTGATAGAATTGCACTGAGTTTGTAGATCTTAATAGTATTAAATTCTCTTGTTTATGAACATGGGATATCTTTCCATTTACTTAGCTTTTTCTTTCAACATTATTTTATAGTTTTCAGTATTACATCTAACCCTTCTTTGATTAAACTTATTTTTATGATATTGTGAATGAAATTGTTTTCATATTTGGATTATTTGTTGTTATAGAAATATAGTTGATTTTTTTTTATATTGGTCTTGTATCCTGCAACCTTGCTGAATTTATTAGGTTTAACAGATTTTTAGTTAATCCCTTAGTATTTTCTATATACAATATCCTGCTTTCTGTACATAGAGATAGAAAGCTTTTTCTAAGCCTGGCCCTTTTTATTTCTTTTTCTTATCTAAGTGCTCTGGCTAGAATCTCTAGTATATGTGGAATAGAAGTGCCAAGAGTAGTCCTTGTCTTTTTCTTAGAGTAATCTTAAAAATATATCTTCTTGGTCCTGTTGAGAAACTTATAGTGGAGATGAGATTAATATGTAAAACTGAGGTTGAAACTCATGTGTGGGATAGCTTGTGATAAACTAGTGTAGTTTAGGAAGCTTTCCCAGAAAAAACTGGAGGTTTAAGTTGGCTGACAAGACAGCTAAATCTTTGACAAAGACAAACACCTTCCCTGGAAGAAAGATATCCTCTTTAATAAATGGTGCTGGAGGGCTGGGGATTTAGCTCAGCGGCAAAGCGCCTGCCTGGCAAGTGCAAGGTTGTTAGTTCGATTCCTGGTACCGGAAGAAAAATGAAAAACAAAAACAACAACAAATAAATGGTGCTGGAAAAGCTGGCTCTGCACATGCTGAAGATTAAAACTAGACCCATATCTTTCACCATGTACTAAACTAAATTGTAATGGATCAGAGATCTAAATATTTAAATAGAAACACTAAATGTGCTGGGAGATAGAGTGAGTACAAGCCTTGAAGATACTGGTATAGGCAAAGACTTTATGAACAAAAACCCCAGTCGCACAAGAACTGTCACAAAGAATCAACAAGTGGAATCTCATCTTTAAAAAAGGCTTTTGCATAGCAAAAGAAATTACTAACAAAGCGAAGAGACAACTCACAGTGTGGGAAAAAGTTTTGCCAGCTGTTCCTCAGAAAAAGTCTAATATGTCAAAGAACTCAAAAAAATTAGCGCCCCCCCAAATTTAAAGACCCAATTCAAAGATGGGCATCAGAAATAAACAGACACTTCTCAGATGAAGAAGTAGAAACAGCAAATAAATATTTTTAAAATGTTCAGTATCTGTGGTCGTTTGAGAAATGCAAATTAAATCAGTGCTGAGATTCCATCTCACTACAGAAAAAGTGGCTTTTTTCTTGTTATCAAGAAATCAACCAATAACAAATGCTGATGGGGCTATGGGGAGAAAGGAACGCTTCTCCACTGTTGGTGGAAGTGTAGACTGTTACAACCACTGGAAATC